TCGGATATTTTTCGCAAGAACACCATACAAAATGAATCATTTGAAATCGAGAAATAAGCTTATTTCAAGTGATTCTTAAAACAGTTTTACAAGATCACATAGTACGCTAAATCTAGAAAAGCTATTTATACGTTACCGTGAATTCTAATTTAGTATAGTTCCGCTCATGGTATGAAGCTTTTCCTAACAAGAAACATTTCTGGATTCGTAATGAAGACAAGGGTGGTTGTTAGTCATGGCTGCGTATACCTCGTCGGTGCCTTTAAAGGCGAGTTGAAATGCGGGGGGCGCGTCTTATTCTCGGAATCAACAAGATCCCCTTCTAGCGGGTGTGCACGTTTTTCGCAATCATTGTGCAGGATCTGGGCGCGGCCATGGAAGAAAGAAGTCGTCCTTTCATTCGAGACTGATGATCGCCGCCCCAGAGTAGAGGATGTGCGATGGACGTTCTTAGAACGTTGAGAGCGACGCACCACACAGCCCCCACCATTAAACTCGAGAACCCGCTAATGGTTTCTCTTTATATGACACTAGCAGATGTAACTGAGTCTATTCACATGAACTACGTATAATATATTTATTCTTATCCACATGGAGTCTTTTAATCTAAACTTTTCCAAACTGAGATCAGACTAGAAATAAGAGTTATGATGTATCTTGTTAGCCACAATTAGAAGTGTCGTAATATGTCCTACTATTAACAATAATAATCAATTTCGTAATGTATGTAGTAAACGCGCGTGTTTTCTTGAGCCCCGAAATACCTATTCGACCCATTATCAACATTAGTTGCTTTGACAATAAATAGCACTGATCGTTATTGACAAAAATATTATAACCAGTAATGTTGGCTCCAGTGTAACCGAAACTATTTTGCATCGAAACGGTGCTACATATTTGCTATGATATTACAGACATCGAAATAACCAAAATAATTATACCGTTCAAGAATCGTAAGCTAAATCACATTTTAAAATATAGTAATCATAATCCTTAAGTACTTTCTAGTATTTTTATGCATAGCTTGATTGTATCAATAAAGAAATGACGTAGTGACAAGAACACGGATGTAAATGTAGTAGTACATAGAATTATGATTAAGATATATTTTAGCCTGGCAAAGAGACATCCATGCATGTCTATCTACCCGGAAAGCATTCTCGTCTACGCAGAGACCGCAAAAACCTAGGGAAGCAACGGTATTCGCGATGCCAGCGCACTCGCTCAGCGACTGGCAGAAGTTGGCCGGCTTCCCCGAAGCCATCGCTCGCGTTCCAATCAAGTGTGCGTAATCGACTCCCCCAACGAGGACGGGACTGGCAGACGGCGTGTCGGCGCTGCCACAGCCGCCGCCGGGGCAGCAGGCGGCGGCGGCGGCGGCGGCTTGTCAAAGAAGCGACCGCGCTCGCTTCGCGATCACGTATAAATCGCAATCAAGAGCAGCGAATAGGATGTGAGGCGTTAAAGCGATCGAGGCGCAAGACGAGACGCGGTCGGCGGCGGCGATGTCGAAAGCGGAAGGACCAGGCGCGACAAGCCCCGCGCGATGGGTAGAATCGCGCGTTTTGACACCACTAAACCACCTCGATCCTTCTAGGTCGCTATCGATTCGACTATTCCGCTCGTGAAATTAAAACCAATAGTGTTTAACTATACGTACAAAATGCCTCAGTCAGGGCAGTGTATCTCAAGAAATTTATCCCTTTTTCTATCCAACTTTTCTTACCGCTCCACCCTACTGCCCAATCATAAACTGTAACTCATCTATCTTAGGAGGCGGTATATATCGATCACTATGTCAAATTAACCCTGCATGTACTGTAACATAACCTCGCTGATTTTAACATAGCTTTCAGTTATTTTCAATATTTGAAACTGTTGCACATAATTTCAATCTGGAATGGTCCTGTTAAATACCACTCGTGTTTTGAAAATTCTCAGATAAATCCATCAATCGGGGATTTATGGACAATTTCCAAAGCACTCGTGAAATTACCTATAATAAATTACCTGCAAATATTCTACGAACTGTAACGTGTTTCGATAAAGTTGCCAGTTTCATTTTTTTTCTTGCTTTTTAATTTTTTTAACTGCACCGACTGATCCACTTTAAATTTAATTTTCCTTCAAACGTAAATCCTTATCAAAATCAACGCCGGCTATCTCGGAAACATCAGGAATATCGTGTTTTTTTATATAACAACAAACGAATATCCTATGTATCTCCGTTTTTATTAATACTAATCCCTGACAGGAGAAGATAGGATTCAAAATCTAGAGTAAATTGGAAATAATGTTATATTTACTTCCCCGGCTTGCTCCTCCCAGTGCTTCTTAGCGGCTTTGCGGGTTGCATATTCGCTCCTCCTTCAATACTCATTCCTATTTCCCCCTTCAGAAGATGAATTTTGAAATTTTTATTTAGTTTTTGTTGTTTTTAAAGTGACAATTGCCGAAGCGAATTAAAAATGTTTATATTTCACACGTTTAAATATATAATTTGTTGACAGAATGTTATACTGTACAACTTATCCTTTTCTCATAAAATACACCTTCGAATATTCCAAAATTGTTTCCAAGTCCAAGCACCTACGTTAAGTTCAGAGACGTGTCGTAATTCGTATTAAAAATATCATTTTTTATTAATAAACATACAAATGGGAGTGAAGGCATATTTAAGAGAAACGTAAACTCCTGAGGATAAAAATTTATCGCTTGTTTAACTAAAAATATTTCCGGATATTCAATCATTAAGCATCAATTAGATGTCGCAGATTAAGAGAAAATACTTCAAGTAGGGAAACGAAAGCTTAACATTCGACCATCCATTCAGTCGCTCGTACACCCATAGTGCTTCGTCGCCGCGCAACAGCAGACGAGGGAGGCGGCCCGCGGCTGGCCAATTCCGCGTCGGCGCGTCGGCCGCTGAGCGCGGGGGGCGGTGCGGGGCGGGGCGGGGAGGGCGCCGCGCAGTTCAAGGTCGCGGCCAGTTCGCGCGCCGCCGCGCGGGGGCGGCTCAGCTGCGAATCTCCCGGGTCCACGTGGCCGCCGTCGACGACGACTGTCGCGGCGGGCCGGACGTACGGGCAGAATTAGTTACTTTCAGCCAGCTTGAGAAAACCGAACACTACGACGACTCACTATTGGTTAGACAATTGGAATAGGAAACAAATATCTGGCAAAATACGTTTGCAGGCGCTCTGGGTGGTCCCACTTTTAAAATATGAAATTTTTCACCTCGCTCGAACATTGAACTCAAACGGTGAATGATCCATGATGAGTATTTTATAACGTTGATATCAACATTTTGGCTAAGATTAGTGATTTGAGCATAAAAATAGTTTCAGGGTTTTGAACGCATGCAAATTTCAGTGCCTGATAGCCCCCCATGAGCTGCCACAGGAGTCCAAGATCTTATTTAAGTTAAGATACTTAGTAGTGGGTAGAATCTGGATTTCTTTTATGTTCAAGATATATCTAAAAATCCCTTTTCCCTACGTCAATCCAACGTTACAGCGACAGTACCCACAGATTTGCGCACAGAGGAAGGGTGGCACCCCTAAAAATTTCGTAAGGTATCCCGTAACCCGATGTAATAATGCATAAAGGTTTTTTTTTTTTTTATTTCCTCGTAAAATATTCCACAAGTATACAAAAATGTGTAATGGACAAGGGACTCAGAGGGGACCAGAAATGTAGTTCCCCTTCTACCATTTTAGGTTGTGCGCTCCTATACAACTATCAAAAAGTGCAGTTCGGATAGAAGACTCATCGTTTCCTTTTGCCTGCTGCTGAATCTGCGGTTACGTTAAAACTAAGAGGGAAATTGTCCGTGTTTGGGCACCTTTACCTCTCTTCGAAAAAACATTCGTCAAAACCCTCGCGTGAATTGAATAGTACTATTGGATTTTCACATTAACAATCGTAGACGTGTGCAGCGTAAAATATAGAGAGCAACTACCCTTCTGGGCCCCCTTTTGCATTCAACTTGTATTTATTTACGACATATTTTTCTATGAAATGAAACATACTTCAAGGAGAATGAAATTATCATTTCACTCAGACATATCAATAATTATCACAGCACCCCTTCTGTGCACGAAAATGTAAAAAAGCAATTGATCCACATGCCTTAAAATTCATAAAATAGTGACTTTAATTTTACTTTATTTTTCTTTGACACAACATTCCTCAAGCCTAATTATTCAATACTAATTACGGCCCCGTAAATATCTGAAGAGAGGTGTGAAGGGATATGATCCATTTCAATCGTGCTCTATCCTGAATTTTTATGACTCGGATTTACACATTTACTTGTGGTCCATGTTGTTGACTTCAGAGGATCAGAAGGACCGAAGAATAACAGTTTTGGATAAAATACTGTGAACCGGCTGTGTCATAATGTTGACCACACCCGGACAAGCATTTAAAAAAAAGGAAAACGAAGGGGAATCAGGAACCCTCAAAACGAGAGATTTGCCAAACGTGAGAAAGTAGGGGTAGCGTACTAGGCTAAAAGCAACAAAAATAACAACAATTTTTCCTGTAGCATTGCAATGCTCTCTCCATACTACGGGGGGGGGAGGGGGGCGGAAGACTTCACGTATCACCCACCCATGAACGATGGACGTTTATAAATATCAAAAGGAAAATGTGGAGTTCCTTTGGTGCATTTACATAGAATTTCAAGACGAGATTTTGGGCTTTCCTCCCTAACTATTTTCTCATGACTTAATGTACTACTACTTCATAAAAAAAAATTCAAATACAGTAATGTAGGTATAATTTGGATGGAGCTTTTCTTTAAAATTAATACAAACACCACTCAACAGCGAAATCAGATCACTGAGTATCACATATCAACAGATTTTCAAATTTCCAATTACATTATGACATTTTTCTTGAAAGTTAAATATTGTATAATGAAATATTGTAAACAATTATGTATTGGGTATTTGATCTTGTCTACAACTTGGTTTATTTTTTTTTTTTGTTCTCAGATGTGGGCCGTTTGTTTGAGATTGCTTCTCCTGACAGCAGTATGCCTATGTGTAATCACGCATGCCCAAAGGGACATTTTCCATGCCCAAACGGATATCTTCCAAGTCCCAAAGAGAGGAAATGAAGTCAGACTATGTGGGCGATACCTCTCTAACATGCTCCATGTAGTATGCAATGGTTTATATAATCCAATGTTTAAGAAAGCTGAGAAAGGTTTGTATAATATATTTCACATATTTATATTAGTTGAGTTACTAAATTCGGGATATTTCATTACACTCAGTAAAATATTTATTTTACTAAAATAAAAGTATGAATCGAAACTTTCAATTTTACATCACATCATTTCTCTTGTAACTTCTAATTTATACTGATTTTCTGTTTACAGAGCCAGAGCCCGAATTCTGGTTGAATGAACCTGCATCTGTTGAAGAGCAGCTCCCCTACCCCCTGAAATCCCTTCCAAAAGCGTCTTCATTTCTTCGTAGTTCAAATCGCCAAAAGAGACAGGGTATTTATGATGAATGCTGTCGGAAGTCATGTGCAATCGCAGAACTCAGAAGCTACTGTGCTGGTTCATAAATATTCACCATTCTCAACATCATTCACTCCTTGCTAAGCTAAATTAACCGACTGACAACATTCATCACAAATCTACCTTCTTCATTACATGTGCTTTCAAAGTCAAGTGTTTGCAGAAATTTCAAATTGGCAACATTTATATGATCATTCACAAATCAATAAAAAAAATTGAAACATCTGAATGAATTATTGTTTTTCCTGTTATAGGGTGGTAACTCATTTCTTCTCCAAGTGTATAAATTAAAAAGATTTTCTCACACTGAAACTAGAATTTTTATAATTCATGTGCCATGAAGAAATCAATAAAAATTATCAAATGTGTCCAGAAAAACATCAATAGTTATTGAATTATTTGAATACTAGAGTTTGTACCACACCCAATTAAAGCAATCAAGTAACTTAAGAAATAGAGATAAGTATTTTAAAACAATTTTTTCAATAACTAGCCATAACAAATAATGTCAAAAAGCAAGACCGTAACAATACTTCTGACTATTCCAAAATAACAAGGTAGTCTGCAAAAAACTGCATTCACCAGCATATCACTCACAAATTAATTTAAATGACAAAACGATTGTAGAAGGTTGTCTCGAAACTATACACTTGTAGAACATATGAGAAGTGAATATAAAAAATTGAATATTTTGCAAAAGCACGTAGTAATTTTGTACTTACAAGGTAAAAGCCACATCAAATTTTCATAATTTTACAGGAGGCAGTGTAAAGAGTGTTGTCATCTAAATGAAACTGGACATAATATAATTTTAACTGTCTTAACATAATGTCTTTTGGACATTTTTTAATTTATCTCAGAAAAGAAATGATACTGGAAAAATTTTGTTAAAATTTACCAACAAAAATAGACAAAGTGACATTTACCACCCCAAGGTAAAGAATTAATGCCCAAAATACACTATGACCAAAAAACTATTCAGCTCATACCTACTTATGATGCAATAATGTGAAAAAACAAATGTATTTGATATCCTTTCATTTATAATTAATTTTATCCACTTTGGTTATCTAAAGTCAAACTACACAAAACTAAGATCAGTTCTGAAAAACAATTTCCATAATCCACTTTTATCAACAATCAGATTTATAACAAAAAGGAAAAGTGTCCACATAAGTATTTTAATATTTCATAGTTCCTCTTAACTACATCTACAATGGTCCACTATATTTCACAAGATCAATAGTCAAATTTAAACAAAACTTATAGATGACTGAAACTTATACAAAGCTGATAAAACATTGCATGATAATTTGTACTGTAACATCTGATGACACTTTTTTTGAAACTAACTATTAAGAAATGTTTGAATATAGAAGAGAACTTTGCTTTTAAAACACACTTATGATAATCAATTGAAACAAAAATACTTTCAACTGAAAAATGATCTTAGCGAATGTTTTAGGGGAAAAAAAAATGTATAAGCAGAATATAAAACTACCTTCTTAACATTAGTTTACAATACATCTTCTTTTAAATGTTAACTTCTCAACAATAGAAATATCCCGAAAATAAATTCACACCTCAACTTAAGATCACATATATTTGTTTGAAATATAAATATTGTGTTAAAAAAAAATAAGTTAATAAATTAATAATAATAAATTAAGTATGGGAACTCATTATATATTTCAGAAATAAACAAGGTAAATGAAATACAATATACTTCTGTAAGGTCATTCATAACTTTTCCACATCAAAAGTAACCAGTGGCGCAGCTACCTTTTCAGCTGCAAGGTGGAGCCTACCCAAACATTTAATGAAAAATCAAAAAAGGTTTTCGTAACTTCATAATGTGCTTACTGTTAATTTTCCAATTCACAATTATGTTGCACATCTGGCAATTTGTAGGTTATTGCATCTTGAATTTCATGCTTACTTGCAAACAAACACATTATAGAAGAACGGCCCTGGTGTTCAGAGCCCTTAATGCATTCACAGTATGAGTGCTTGTGAGACGCAGTATGCTTGAGTTTGTTTTACGTAGGCTAATTTGCAACATTATTCAGTTATTGTCAAGATTGTTCATGGCCTATGGCGGTCACACACTAGAGACAAACACCTACTCCAATTCAGTTTATTGGAATAACTAACCTCTTGTTGAAACCTAAGACACTTAAGGAAGTGACAAACTATGGGCAGCAACATGTGATAAACTGATGGACCATTAATATACAGCTCAGTGTCATTCTCATAAATGTCAATTAATAATAATAATACGTAAATCTGTGCTGCAGCCAACCCTGAAAAAATTATTATGCTATGCTACTCTAAGTAGCTTGCAACCTGAATTAAAAGGACGTTCCGGAATAGCCCATTACTTACGCTCCACACTGATTATATTTAAACAATCATAACACAAATGTAAAATACCTTTTAATTTTCTACTTTCCACATGAAACATGAAGATGATTTGAAAGTTTGTAGAATGATTGTACATTCATCACAGCAATACATGACAAAGACTAAGAAAAAAGGGATTGAATATATACATCATAGAATATTCAATAAAAAACTATTTATTAATAACAAGGTTTTCCACTCAAGGTATCAAAAACATTCATTTCCTCATTACCTTGAGAAATATGTAATAAAAAAAACAGGCTAGGTCTCGAGACTTCAATTACAAAGCAATAATTGCATCATAACACACATTTGAAACTGCAAGAACTAAAATTCAACTCAATTTTTGATAGATTTTATGATTAATGTTGTTCACATGTGATTTCATACAAAATTAAAAATCCATTATTTATCAACAAATTTGTGGCACAAACTCACTTTCTTCCTTTAGTAAATTATGCAATGTTTCTATTAACACTTGAATTTAACTCAAGTAAAGGAATTTTAACAAACTGTATTCGTATTACTAAACTCCTACATTGCACTCTTCTGAAGCAATTGTGTGAATCTTGTAGTAATAAGTAAAGAAACATCTATGAAGCGCTCCACACAGTTGACCATGCAAGTTTCAGTTCTGGAGTCCAATTTCGTTCCCGGCTTGTCCATACATTTGTCCCAACAAAATTCATTAAATTCGTGAATCTAAAAAATAAATAAGAAAGCTTGTAGAATCATGTAGAACATCGTGATACTTACATGTGACTTACCGGAATGTGTAAAATAAAATACATGAATATAACTTGAATGCAAATAGGCTAACAATATACGTAAATCTCATTTAAAATGTCCCACGATACCTGAGAATTAAGTTGTGCTTTCTGCTTTTCTACCATTAGAAATTCCTGAAGTTCACTGTCTTTGAGGTTATCAGTAGGGAATGTGGAATCTTCCGTAGAAAAAGACATGATGTAACCTCCTGCAACAAATAAACAGAAAATTACTAAACAATTTAAAGAAAATATACATGTTTTTTCACTGTAAACGTTTCACTTGTCAACTTACTTATTCAAGTCTCGTGCAATTTTACTAGTAACTCTGTGCGCTGACCTAGCCAATGCAGCGATAATGTCCCGAATGTCCCCTAACCTTACTCTTGTTAATTGTTCACAGCGGTTCACAGGACCAGCATGCACTTCGATTCTGCAAAAGCAATAATATAGTTTGTCACTTTGACAATAGGTGGCAGTTAGTCCACGATTTCTCCGCAGTACATCAATTATCCGTCATTTCGATATCTCGTTTGTGGTTCCCACTCCAGTCGCCGACTGCTCTGTGTGTTGATAGGGTTGCCTGCAGCATTGAGGTGCCGGAGAATCAAAACAAACCTTCTCAAGGTCGGACGGGGAACAGCTGCGGCCTAAGCATTCTACGCTCCGCACGTCAGAAGGATCGCCGGGAGGCGGTGCCGATCTCCGAAGAAATGACAACCCCTACACAAGTGGTAAGTACAATCTTGATCATTGAGCCCAAAGAGAGAACAGATTTGCAGTTGTTCATCTCTACCATTTTCCTTTGTTTTGGCTGAATGTTTATGAATAATACATGAGATCGCAGAACTATCCGCGTGCTTCTCGCTGTTTATTGAATGTAATGAGGTTGTGACGCGGTGTCCGTCCACCGTAAAAAAACACTGTTCATATAATGTGCTTTGTTCTCCGTTATCAAGTGTTGTACAGATCACTTTGGTTTAGATCACCTGATTACACAAATATTGATTCATTTTGCTATAGAATTGACAGTTCCATGTTTTGACACCTGTTCTACAGGCTTTAGAATATTATTTCAGATCTGCATGCTGCGGGTCGCTCACTCACCATGACCTATGCTTTGTTGTGATATTTGCATATGCAGTAAACAAACAAGCCGAAAGGCAGCACCGTGCTTCTAATTTTTGTTTTGTGCATTAGGATATTGCTGAACAGAAATTCCTCGTCAGGCTCGGACAAAAGGAATGTCTATGGACCGTTACTCCGCGAAGGTGACTACGTACACAGCAGAGCGTTCGCTGGAAACGGGCGTGCGAGGCTGTTTGTTCGCGTGGGGGCGCCTGCACCAGCCCCCAACAATGCCTCGGGCTATGGATGGGCCTCCCAGCCGCGTCGACAGAGGGGTCGGTGCCGACGACAGCGATTTTGAAAGGCCTGTCATCGCTCGCGCGGTCATTCCGTGCCAAAACCAATAAGCGCTCTTCCTGGAGGCTGTGGTGGCGGCCGCCGCCGCAATCTGCGCTCTCCGCAGGCCGGCCTCCCGCCCGCGGGGCCCCGCGAGCGCCGATGCCCGGTCGCAACCGCGTGACTCACGGGCTGGAGTTCGCCGACTTCCCCCGGGAGTCACGCGCGCGTCTTGCCGCGTGCGCCTCCGCGTGTCACCTAGGAGGCAGAGCGGGACTCGGTCTTCTCAGCTTGATTAAACACGACTTTTTTTTCCATTTTAGAAATGGGTACAGGGCCATCCTAAAAGTCATGTAATATAAAATAAGATTTATCAAACTTGCTTAATACGTAGTTTTGATACGAGTGGTAAACGTTATATTTTATTTTGCGAATAGGAAATGTTGTGAGTGACGCAATCTCAGGGACAAAAGTCACTTTTACCACGTGTCATACACTATTTTGGAGACATTTCGTGATATTCCTTTTCAAGTATATAAATAGCACTTAATTGGGTACCATGATACACCAAGATCAGTTGTAGCAGATCTGACGATAGTATTTTGGTTCCTTGTTGCATTCACAGTTTTATCTTAATATTTCAGCATCGCCTTAATTTTAGCGCTAGTACTAAAAACTGAACTTTCATCTCGCTTTTCAGGCCCTAAAAGTAACCTCTTTTACTAGGGGCTGCCTAAAAAGTAAATTATGCATATACTAGGATTTATTTAACTGTGTACTTAACGTAAATCAGCCGGTAACAAATATTTGTAAATGAATGTAATTAGTTTCATTCAAGGGTAAAATGCCAATCACTTAGTAGGCGCATATTATGGAGTTGGGTGTTGTGTTCTTCCCCCCGCTGCGCGTGCCTATCACGGACTCTCTCCTTCCAATGTCCCCCATTTCCGCATATGCGTACGTGGTCTGAACTAAGAAAATACGGATGTGGTCATCACACATCTGCGTGTGTATACTTCAGAAGCTCGATAACATAAATATATCGGTATTCGTATTTGTCTGGATAATCTGGGCTTGCGCATGCGTCGTTTATCGGCCAGGGAATATCAACAGTCAAGAACAACAAACGAGGATTACAAGTTCTGATCTGATGAGAGAACTAAACTGTTGGCCTAATCTGCCTCAAATTTCAGTGAGGTGCTTAAGTAAGCTTACTCGTACACGTCTTTTTCGCAAGGGAAGGGACACTGGGTAAGAAATCGCAAACGTGTAGAGGTAATACGAACGTCGTGTGCAGCTGCAGTACCTGGGAAAACTCTAAGAATAATGTATCACCAGAAATATTAACTGCTTTCATTTTTTATATGTATACTGTGTATTCGTATTTTGTAATAAACATTATGTTACCTTTTCTCCTTTCACTCTTAGCTCCGTTTCCAAACCGGGGAAATGTTAAGGTGATATTTACCCGTTAGATATATCTGATAAAATAACTATTCATCATTCAGCTATTCTCTCTTAAGTTTTCTAAAACGCTTATTTTCATCTAATGATTTTGAAGATAAATCATTAGTTTACGCCCGGAGGGGAGATGAAAATTCGATAGCTGTTGAACAGTGTAGCATTGTCGTCATTCTGTAAGGTTTATTTGAAGAGACAAAAATTTTGGACGCAATGACCGAAACAAGGTGGATTAGAAAGCGGCGTGTTATATGGATTATGAAAATGTTTATTCTATCTTCACATAAATGTCTTTTTTATAGTCTGGATTATGTGAGCTTGTATACATTTCAGATTGCAAGGGCTAAAAGTAAACAATACGAAATTAGTGAGCTTCTTACGGGTATATTAAGTGGGTTACCTGAAGAGGGACTTAAATCAGAGCAAAATAAAATGAAATATAATATTAGTGCCTCGTAATTCGAATTGTTTGTTTGGTGCCGCTATTTCAAAAGTAAGTCTTATCTAATGAAGTATTTGTCTTGCTCACTTTGCAAAAGAAAGCACAGCATTCACAAAAAAGTAACTAAAATCTCAGATAACACAGAATAGGATGCAATTCTGGTAGATAAATTTACGTCATATTTTCTCGCGTTACAAAATTAGTATTTAAAGAATTATCATCTGTCACTTTCTAATGAGTCTTATTTAGTAGTTAATAAGAAGTAACCAATTAAGACCGCGATTTGTTTATCGAATATCCAACGTCCAGAAAGATTAGAGGAATGCCCTGCCTGACCATTCACTGTTTCAAAAACTAATTAGATGAATATGGCAGATTAAAATAAATGAATGGAATTCGAGTAAGTTGCAAATCATTGCAATATGATAATGAAATATTATATTAATGTGTTAAGTAACTACGAAATATGTAGGTCCAATATATTCAAAATATCACTACAAAGTTTTAATGTAATGCTTGCGTGTTTTTGGAATTGTGTTCTGATGAATGAAAAAATATTGATACACGGCTCCTGCCAATCTGAATATAATTATGATGGAATTCAAAGACTTTGTCTGGTGTAATGTATTGGCAAATAAGTTGTGTTTTGGAGTTTATAAAAGATGAAGTACACCAAAGACTTTGGATAGATAACTTTGATGAGAAAATTAAACAGTTTACATTTACCTGTTAAAAAACGATTTTTCTTGTTAAAAGGGGGACCAAAAATGTCTCTATTGAATATTATTATTGATCGTGGTATCCTCTTACATTAAAGACAATCAAATCAATTCAATAAATTCATATTTAAAACAATTATTTTATTGGCATCTAAGCACCAATCGCAACGTTTCGCGACCAATTTGGTCGCATTATCACTTGATCTTTCAACTTTTCGACTAAAGAAGCATTGAAAATAGTTTATAACTGTATTATAAAACACTTAATGACGCGACCAACTAGGTCGCGAAATGTGATTAGTGCACAGATGCCAATAAAATAATTGTTTTAAATACGAATTGATTTCATTGTCTTTAATTTAATTAGATACCACTGCACGCAATAATATTAAAGAACTTTCATAGGTATTACAGATAAGCTGACGAGGATGCTGGCAAAATTGCAAGCAATTTCTGCGTTATTATAAATTTTAAATTAGTTTGAAGAGGCTCCAAAATTCGTAAGCTTTCTAGACATTTTCCCCAACTACGAAAAATGAAGTAATTGCATGTGTGCACTTGTTGTAATGTTTCATTATTTTTTGTTTAATTCATTTTTAACTTAAATCGGTTTTCAAATTAAGAATGTAACATCTCGAACGTTGATAAAGGTTTTCTTTATTAGTTTACTTGTATGTACGAATGAGAATAAGTGAATTATTTTATTCCATAAATGAAAGTTTCAGGGTCATTTATGGAGAATCTCGGCACAAAATAACAATACCTTTTACTTTGAGCAGTGATATTGCGGAGTATAATCGCACGGTGACATTTGCAACAAAGATCAGAATGGCCAAAAGTTAGAAAAACATGAAAAAATAAACTTAGTATCTGAAAACACCCATTAAAACGTGTGGAGTTTCACTCTTTTGTCCTCAATTTTGCTTTATAAACTAGCTAGCAATCCATAGATCATAAGATAATGAATGTATGGAAATAGGGAATAAAATTCACTATCGTGAGGAATTATGCTTAACCCTGTTCTTTTTTCTTACTGAAAATATGTGAACGTGTAACCGCCAAGTCAAGGAAACGTAGAAACTTTTAATGGCTTTCGTTCGCGTTCAAAAAAAACAACAGGAAAATGCATGATTAAGAATTAATCAAAAGGGGGACGCATAAAAATGGCGGGCTTGCTCTCTGAAGGTGTTGGGAAGCACGCAACGAGCGTCCCGTCTGGATTCGCTCATCGCCCCCGCTTGAGTTTGTTATTTTAGCCCACAACCTGTTTTTCTTCCTAACACATGCACCCACTCGGTTTGAACTTATAAGCACACATGGTGGCAGGCCCAATCGCCTACCCCTCACGGTCTGACTCACTCGTTGATTCTCTCAGACAATCGAGAAATGCAGCCTTGTATCAGTGCAAAACGACAACCTAGTGGACTTGACAGACCTACAATAACACTGATAGAGACTACCTAACACTGATACCTGAGACTACATAATACCTGATATTTTGCCTTACATAACTCTGTCCTTTACTTACTTTTTAGGACGTTTTTACTAACTTGGAATATTACAAAAACAATTTATTTACTTTAAATCCAATAAAATGTAACTAAAATTTGTAAACTAAACATCAATTAAACTTGAGCTATTATTTATTTCTGTACTTGAATTATTTATTTGAATACAGTGTCACTCTGCAACTCTTTAAGTTCTGCGTGCATGTAAATCCCTCAGTTAGGTTACACTGCGAGTGAAATATCGGTAAAATATTAACAGTGCATGAGTATTCATAGAGCGCTCCACCGCCAAACAGAAATCATGCAAACAGAGCACGTCCGGGGGAAG